TAAATAAATAAATAAATAAATAAATAAATAAATGTATATCCTGCCCTTCTTCCCAGGGGCTCATTCCAGAGTCTCCTACTTCCCAGCCTCAGCCGTTGACTCCGGATATTCTTTTTCTCGGTACAGGGACTTGATGAATCTGACCCCTTCGGACGTGTTCTGGAACACATCTGACACAGGATGGGTCAAGTCCGCCTGGAGCAGTGTGTTCGCACCCTGGATTAACGGATCGTGCGTCTTTGTGCATCATTTGCCACAATTTGAACCCGCTGTCATACTGAACGTAAGAACAATGGGTCAAACTGCGGGCGTGTGCTTTTGAAGCTCAGAGATCCAGAGCTGATGCAGACAAGGGATTCTTGTGTTTTGTCACAGAGAGGCTCCATTCCCAGTAGTTTAAACAGAAGCATCTGCAAACAGTTCAGTGAATCCAAACGTTTTGTACAACAGATATCTGGACATGGATTATGTGTATGTCCAAGCAGGAGTAGAACTACATCTACTCGTGCCTGTGAGTTCTGTCCCATGTGTGCATGTAGCATAAAATCTGGAAAAGCTTGCAAACATGGAAAATACACATATGTAGGCACTGTAGGCACTGTTCACAGGACAGGGAACCCTGAGGAGGCACGTTCCAACTGCACAGATGTTTGCTTCAAAAAAGTGAAGTCTTCTGAAGGCACAGGTGTGTATGAGAGACCCTGAAAGCCTTATCATTTGCGTAGTTCTTTCAATGTCCAAAATGCTTCAAACATGTCCTAAACCTACAATAGTCCCATAACACAGGCCATTATCATTACGCCACACACACACAAACAAATGAGAGCCTGACAGAGAACGGCTGGGCTAGGGGCAGCTAGTAACCTTATGGGAGACACATGGACTTGTGGCATACCAAGGGTGGGGTGTGCGGTCCGCCCTGGGTGCAGCTTGAGAAAGGCCCTTGAAGGGAGTCCTTGAAGCCAGTGTTATGCTGCATCCAGCCAAACGTCTTTCCTTTTTTTAAATAAAATGCAGTTCTGGCTGCAGCCACTAGGGGCACAGGGAAGACTGAGAATAGCAAAAAGTACACTAGGATCAACTAGACTCCCCTTTCTCCAAGACTGAAGCAAAATTGCTTAACACAACTGAGCCAGCACACCGATAGCTGCTACAGTAATTACCAGCGTCCAGGTCATTTTCTCCAATAGTCTAGAACAGCCCCTTCTCTCTTTCTTTCCTTGCACCCAGTTCAGCCAGATCTTGCAAAGCAGTAGTTAGGGTATTGTAGTTCCCTGTCTTAATTCCTCTCTCTCTTTTCCACACTATTCTCATTCATTTCTGTCTCCCTTCATCTAATTTTCCCACCCCGTTCCCTTCTTGGTTTCAAGACTGTCTCAACCCTATCCTGGTTGGTGATTCTGTGCTTGACATAAGCTGCCATTGCCACAGTGGCACTGTACATTGTAATAGCTCTGCTGTGCTTCCAATGCCCCCCCCCCGGGTGGACTGTGATTCTGTGCTTGACATCAGTCCTATTGAGCTGTCATTGCCACACTGGCACTGGGTTCTGCTGGGCATGTTACACTGGTTCTGCTGGGCTTGCAAAAATGACTCCCACTTCAGTTCCTACTGCAGAGATTCTCTGGTTTGACTTTAGTCCTTTGGAAACAACAGAGGATGGGGGCGCCTTCTTTGGGGGGGGTAGTGTGTTTCTCAACATCCAGTCTGGTGAAGCTTGCAATATTTATTTTGTGATGCTTTGTTTAGTGTTAGTTAGTAAAAGTTAGTACAAATGATGACTCCTCACTCTCAGAAATGCCTTGTAGATGTTTGGGATGGTCAGCTCTTGGGCTTCAGAATGGAGAACAGAAGCCCTTCCAAGTGCCTGCTCAGAACACGAGTAATGTGATGGAACTTTTTGTTTTTTATGCTGTCAAGTCACAGCTGACTTACGGTGATCCTGTTGGGTTTTCAAGGCAAGAGATGTTCAGAGGTGTTTTGCCATTGCCTGCCCCAGCATCAGCCCTGCTTAGCTTCTGAGATCTGAGGAGATCCGACTAGGCTGGGGTTGTCCAGGTCAGGGCTAGGCTGAGAGTAATGAGACTGGCCCAAGGTCACCCAACAAGCATCCATGGCAGGAGGAGGGATTTGAGCCTGGATTTGAGCCAGATCCTAGTCCAACCCTTTCAGCACTCTACCACACTGGCTCTCATGATAGAATAGCATGTTAGAATTTGATTTATTTTTTTTTACTGGCATGAGCATATATACAAAGTTAAATAAGAGAACATTTTCACCGTCTGCGTTTCTTTTCCAGCCATGACTATTATTTGTTTTATTCCATGATTATTATTATAGAAAATAATTTTGTCGTATTGGGAAGGGGCCCTGACCTGGATACAGGGCCGGCTCCAGCTTATTTTGCACCCTAGGCGAGCATCCCTTCTGCCCCCCCCCGTGCGCCCACCAATTTTCAAAAATAAATGCATTTTAGGAAGAATGAAAAACACAAATAATCAAGAAACTCCCAGAGTAGGGGGCCGGGTGCAGTTTGGTGCCCCTAAGGGCCATCCCGCTCTAGGCGATCGCCTAGTTCGCCTAGTGAGTGTGCCGGCCCTGCCTGGATAGCCCCCGTCTAGCCTGATCTCATCAGATCTCAGAAGCCAAGCAGGGCTGACATGGAGGCAGGGAATGGCCAACCACCTCTGAATGTCTCCGGCCTTGAAAACCCTACAGGGTCGCCCTAAGTCAGCTGTGACATGACGGTAAAAAAAAAGTAGAGGAGGGGGGTATTCAAAAATTACCTGACCACTGCCGTGGACCACTCGAATTCCAACGCCTTCAGTTAGCCACTGTGCTACACCAGCCCCTGCAGTCCAATCCACAATCTAGTAAGGCCAACCTCTTGTCTATGAGCACCAGCGTCAATTTGGGCAGGGCTGTAGCTCAGCAGCAGAGCATCTACTTTTGATGCAGAAGATCCCAGGTTCAATTCCCGGTATCCCCAGTTTAAAATAAAAGATCAAGTTGTCTGAAGTATCTCTGCCTGAGACTTCAGAGACCAGCTGTCAGTCAGAGTAGGCAATACTGACTTTGGTAGACCACTGGTCTGACTGAATATAACTGTTTGTTTAAAGAGGGGTTTGTTTAAAGCTGTGGTGGCTCAAGCGGTTAAGACGCTGAACTGCAGGCTGTGGAAGGTCGGTAGTTCAGCGGTTCGAGACCCGGGTGCTGCATGACAGAGTGAGCTCCCGTCTCTGGTTCCAGCTCCTGCCAACCTAGCAGATCGAAAGCAAGAAATTGCAAGTAGATAAATAGGTACCACTTCGGTGGGAAGGTAACAGCGTTCCGTGCGCCCTGGTGTTTAGTCATGCCGGCCACATGACCACGGAAACGTCTTCGGACAGCGCTGGCTCTTCGGCTTTGAAACGGAGATGAGCACCGCAACCCTAGAGTCGGACTCGACTGGCTTTCGAGCAAGGGAACCTTTACCTTTACTATTAACCATGCAAAGATCTCCCAATTGACACATCCCAGTGTATCAGTAAACAGGACCATAAAACCTGATCAGTACGTGGCTCACTCAATAAGCATCAATACATTTCAGACTTAAAGCAGCTGCATGTGTGCATGCAGAAGGCCCCAGATTCAATTTCTGGCATCACTTGTTAAAAAGGATCAGGTAAAAGGTGATGTGCCCCAGACCAATCAGAGGAGGAGGAGGAGATTGGATTTATACCCCGCCCTTCACTCGGAGTCTCAGAGCGGCTTGCAAACTCCTTTCCCTTCCCCTCCCCACAACAGACACCCTGTGAGGTAGGCGAGGCTGAGAGAGCTCTGACAGAAACTGCTCTTTTTCAAGAACACCTCTGACAGAACTATGGCTTGCCCAAGGTCATCCAGCAGCTGCGAGTGGAGGGGTGGGGAATCAAACCCGGTTCTCCCAGATTAGAGTCCGCGCGCTTAACCACTACACCAAACTGGCTCAATAAACAATACACCAATACTGACCTCAATAAACCAATGCTCTGATTCAGTACAAGGCAGCTTTGTGTGCATTCAAAAAGCAGACTGTTATAATAACTCCCTATGATTCAATTCCGATGGGAAAAGTTCTCAGGTGTCTTGATCCTCTGGCTGTTTCAAACCCTGATTCACCCATCTGAGGCCAACGGTGCCCCGTGCTCGGCAAACACACTGGGGTCAAAGCCGCATTGTGGGGCTTCTGTGAGGCTTACGCTTTCATTTTCTCCCCTCCTGCAGACCCTGTCAAGGTATCCGGTCACCGCTTTCTGCACCGCTCCGACTGCGTACCGTATGCTGGTGCAGCACGATAATAACAGGTACCGTATTTACTCCAATGGAAGATAAACCCCCCCCCCCCCCCAGATATGCCATCAAAAAAGAGGGGAGAGTCTTATGCTTATATACAAGATATCATTATGTCCAGTAATTTAATTTTTTTCGGTATATCACATTTTTGTATGCCCCCCCTTTCCTCTCTGTCTTCTAATATTTATTGCAAGACCCTGGGGCTATGCTTTGCCACAATGTTTGTCCACAGATCTATAATTCTCAATCTTCTGTGCCCTTTCCTGTCAAAACTTCATTAAAGTGCTCAAGTCGACTGAATGTCGCAAAGCCAAACACCAGCGTAAAATTGTTTTAAAAATAAGATTTTTTAAAAACTAAACTAATGCCTGGCAAAGAGTAGTTCCAGCAAAGCCATAATTCCTTTTTATGATGCAAGAACTGATTCTATCAGGTGATATTTTAATGCGTGAAAATGCTATTAAAGACCAGCTGTTGCAAGGGACAGTTACCTAACCATGGTGTACAAGACAATGGACAGTCCCTTCAGACATGCTTCATTTGTACTATCATTCAAATAATTACGTAAAGGAAAGAATTTCGCACTGTCTTCCCCAGGATCTGAACTCACTGTGATCATATAACGCAGAAGTGGCCACACGAAAACCTTCGCAATGTGGCTAATGACCAGGGGTCTTTTCGTAGAAAAAGAGCTGCAGGAGCTCATTAGCATATGGTATGCTAATGAGCTACTAGGCTATTAGCATATACCACGCCCCCTGGCATCACCAGAAGTGATGTCAGAAGGGGAAGCAAAGGGGGGAGGCATCTTTAAAAGCCTCCCCTTCCCTTCCCCAGCTGGCCTGCGGGGAGGGGGGAGTGAAGAGAGAAGGGGTTTAAAGTTTAAACCCCTTCTCACTAGAGTTGGGCCACAGAAGGTGGAAAGAGGGAAGGAAAGAGAGAGAGTAGAGAGAAGGAAGGAAGGAAGGAAGGAAGGAAGGAAGGAAGGAAGGAAAAAAGAAAGAAAGAAAGAAAGAGAAAGAAAGAAGGAAGAAAAGAAGGAAGAAAAGAAGGAAGGAAAGAGGGGATAAAAAGAGAGAAGGAA